CACACACAGACAGACAGACAGACAGACACACACAGACACACAGACACACACACAGACAGACAGACAGACACACACACAGACACACAGATACACACACAGACACACACACACAGACACACAAACACACACACAGACACACACACACACACACAGACAGACGGACAGACGGACAGACGGACAGACGGACACACGCACACACACAGAGACACACACACACAGACACACAGACACACACAGACACACACACACACACACACACCGCGCGCTCGTATAATCCAGCTCACGTGTGACATGTGTCTGTGTATGTGTGTGTGATGCAGGAAATGGGAGCGCCACTTCTGCTGCAGGTGACGACACACGACCAGGACGTCACCGGTATTCACGTGAGCAAATTGCATTCGTGCAAGTATACGTGTGTGGGCATGCGCATGTGCTTGAGCTTGGGATGATGTTTTGCACGCACGCATGTCGGTTGTCATCACTTGACGTTCAATTCACGGCCGCCGCAATGCATTGCTTCACGACTTCCCCTCTCTCCCCTCATTCCTCGGCTCAGATGCGATCATCTGTTGGGGGCGTGCCGCTTGATGTCATCGCCCGCGCATTCACGCAGGTGGAGTGCACACATGTTGACATATGCATGTGTATGCATGTACGCCTTGCATTGCTGTGTTGTTTGAATTTGCTGCTGGCTGACTGGCGTGCATCCACGTGCGTGTCTCTCCCTTCTCTCTCACCACCATCCATCAACAATCACCATCCCCGCCACCGCCGTCGTCAGGCGCGCGCATCATCGGAAGCGATTGGACGCGAGATGTCTGCGCGTGTGTCTGCGCCGCTCAAACCCAAGGAGAACATCCCATGCATTGGTCTGGCGCCGTCGTTGATGTGTGATTCAGTTTCTATTGGGGTGGGGGTGATGCACGGCGATATCCACACACTGTCTTGACACACACACACACACACACACACACACACACACACACAAACACACACACACACACACACACACACACACACACACACACACACACACACACACACACACACAGGTCGGTGACACCGTGGTGGCACGCGTGCGGCGGATGATGGCGTTTGGAATCGTCGTGGAGGCAGACGGGTACTCGAGCCTCGTCCATAAGACCACGCCCGGCAACAAGGGCCTGGTGAGGAGACACACACACACACACACACACTTGTAGCTGCTGTTCAGTGGTTGTGTGTGATCTGATAGACTCACACACGCACACATACACACGCACACTTGTAGCTGCTGTTCAGTGGTTGTGTGTGATCTGATAGACTCACACACGCACACATACACACACACACTTGTAGCTGCTGTTCAGTGGTTGTGTGTGATCTGATAGACTCACACACGCACACATACACACGCACACACACACATACACGCACACACACATAGATGGAGTGCCAAGTCGGGGACAAGATCAAACTTCGGTGCATCACGAACAACGGATCGCCTGCACTCGTCCTCGCAAGATAGGAAGACAGATGACACGTAGATACACGCACTCACATGCGCATGCACAAGGGCAGACACGTGCACTTGAACATGTTGGGGTGCAAGTGGTGTGACTGCCACGTATGTTTTGAGGAGTATCGTTGTATTGAACGGGTTCAGCTATCATGGAAGGAGAAAGCGAGGGAAGCAAGGCAGCAAGCAAGGGACGCCAGGTGAAACACCGCGCTTGTGTCACAACGAAGCAACAAAGCAAAGAACAACACGCAAATACGCAAAAACAGAACGAAAAGAGGCAGATGATCGTGGACAGTGATTAACAACCCAAACACCAACACAAATGCGCACTGCTACTACTACGGTTTCTACACATGTACACAACGCGCGCGTACATGGCAGCACGCAGGGGTCGAATCGATTGATTAGAGGAGAAAGGAGGAGGAGGAGGGAGGGGGGGGGCAAGAAGGTCGTTGGCGATGCTAGCAGGGAGTGACAAATTGTTGCAGGGGTGATGTGGCGGCGATGGCGGTGATGGCGCTGGAGCTAATATGGCGAGGATAACAAGGGACAAACAAACAAACAAAGGGTGTGACTATGACTAGTTGCCGACCGATGCTGCCGGTGCCCAGGGCTGGTAGTCGCTGACAGCCTTGCGAGCCTCGTCGGTGAATGGGCCGTCGATGCGGATGGAGATGGCGGGCGTGTCTGGGTCGAGGCAGACCGCCTGGTGCTCGTAGCGCGGGTCAAACCAGCCTGCATGGCCCGTGCAGCGCTGCGGCTGGGCCGAGGAGTCCTCGGAGAAGACCTGGATGGTCTTTGCGGTGCCGGCGCGCAGCCAGAGGAACTCGTTCAGTACGTCCGGGATGGTGTGATCGCGGTGCCTGATGCCGTCCTTACCAGAGCGGTCGATGATAACCCAGATGCGGCCCATCTCCTTGAGCACCTTGCCGATGACTTGCTCCTCAATGAACGCCTTGAACTTGGGGAACTTGTTAAAGAGGGGCGCGTCCTCCCACATGTCGCTGCGGCTGCGGTTCTGGTGCTCCATGGCGCCCTTTGCCGTGGGCATGCGCAGGTACAGCCCAAACGTGGAGTCGCTCACGTTGCCGGACGTCTCGAACCGCTTGACGGCAGCGCCGTCCACGTGCGTCTCCGGGTCCTTGGACTCGGTCACAACCCCGTGCGGGTACACGACGCGGCCGGGGTCCGCCTCATCCACGGACCGGTTCAGTGTCTCCACGCCCACGCGCTGAATCTCCTCCACAACCTCCTGCCACTGCTTCTCATCCACAAACTGGTCCAGGCTCGCAATCATCCTGCCCGTTGTTCCGTACTGCACGCTAATGAGTCGAGAGAACAGAGGAACCCTCGTTTGCCTTGCTGTGCTTTGGTCTGTGCGGTGCGGCGATGCTGTTTGTCCGAGGGAGGTGGTGGGAGGTGTAGCTTGAACGTCCGTGACCGCGGGCGACACGCAGAATGAGGTTTGAACTGCGCACGACCGCGGTCTGCGCACCCATCGAATCGCAAAAAGAAAAAAAAAAACGGGATAATCACCAGAGCAAGCAATGAAGGAGAGAAGGAGAGGCGACAAAGCAAGCAAGCAAGCAGACAACGAATGGCCAGGCACGCGAATCGCATGGCCAGCAAGAGAGCAAGAGGACGACGGCATGGAACACGCATCATTGTTATCATATCCGGCGCACGAACAGATGAGCGGAGAGACAATGAAGAGGGCGAAGGCGAGGGCAAGAGCAAGGCGGACGCCAGCACGCGGGAGACATCCGTTCCGGCGCAGTTCCACGAGTTTGTTGGTTGGAGCGTCCAGAGTCATGGAACGGTGCGAGTCGCAGTCCGTTCAACCAGGTGCGTCGTGTATGTGTGCGTGTGCATGTGTGTGTGTGTGTGCGTGCGTGTGCGCGCGCGCGCGTGTGCGTGTGTGTGCATGTGCGTGTGTATGCGTGAGCGACGAGTTTGGGTCCATTCTGATGCCATCGTTCACAACCACAACACAGGGCGTGACTGACTGTCTGACTGACTTAATGCATGGCACCCAAACCGACAACGAGTGGCGTGGTAACCCCCACAACATACCTTCCTCCTGCCAGCCCAACGGACCGACAGGAAGGATGGCGACCTCATCCGGGTCCAGAAGAACGCGTGAGCCCTCCTGGAGCACCAGAGTGTGCCGCCAGACCATCCAGGCTAGAGGCCCAGATGGTGCCGATGCTGTGTAAGGCAAGGTTCATCACACGTGCATGAGACTTGTGTGAGGGGCGTTAGTGAGGGGATTCTGCTTGAACAAGCAACGGCAGTCATCTGCAACAACCACGACAACAAGAGCAGCAGCACGAAGATGAACGCAGCAGCAGCAGCAACAACAACAACAACAACAACAACAGCAGCAGCAGCAGCAGCAACAGCAGCAGCAGCAGCAGCAGCAGCAGCATCATCCCACGTTTGCTATGCTCCATTCGCGACACATGCGGCGCGACACTGTCACCAGCCCGTTATCCATATCAGGACCGTCCGGCTCGGAGGACCCACGCCACGGACCAAGCTCACCGTTTGCCTCCTCCACCAGGGACCTGCACACCCACAAGGCACGGGCGCATCGATTGCGGTGAGATTGCGGAACAGCACACACACACGTGCACACACGTGCACACATGCACTCGCACATGCACATGCACACACACACACACACGTGTGCACACATGCACTCGCACATGCACACACACACACATATATACAATTTACACTCACTCATACGCATTTACACACACACACACACACATGCGCTCACGCACAAACTCATGCACTCACATGTACACACATGCACACTCGCATACACACATGCACACACGCATTCACACGTGCACACACGCATACACGCATACATATTTACACACACGCATTCACATACACACGCACACGCTCGCCTACATGGAACCATACCTCGCAGCGATAGTCTTTGCGGCAGCAACGTCTCGGTCAGCAGACGCACCGCAGTGCGTACACGTGGCAATCCTGTCAACCATTTGCGTACACACGTGCATGAGCACACACGCATATCCGCACCCTCTTCTCTCATACATGCGCACACACACACAACCACGCATATCCGCACCCTCTTCTCACATACATGCGCACACACACAACCACCCATATCCGCACCCTCTTCTCTCATACATGCGCACACACACACACACAACCACGCATACCCGCACCCTCTTCTCACATACATGCGCACGCACACACACAACCACGCATATCCGCACCCTCTTCTCACATACATGCGCACGCACACACACAACCACGCATATCCGCACCCTCTTCTCACATACATGCGCACACACACACACACAACCACGCATATCCGCACCCTCTTCTCTCATACATGCGCACACACACACACACAACCACGCATATCCGCACCCTCTTCTCACATACATGCGCGCACACACACACACACAACCACGCATATCCGCACCCTCTTCTCACATACATGCGCACACACACAACCACGCACATTCATGCACATACCTCGTTTGCTCGTCAATGCGGTTTGGCCAGGCACAGCAGAGGGAATACTTTGTCGTCCTGAACTCCTCCACAATTTTTGTGTCGACCCGGCAGCCGATGGCGCGGCGTAGCTCCAGGATGGGAGCCTTTGTCCCTCCGCCGCGACCCTTATGGACGCTGGGAGCAGGAGGCAAGAGAGGCAAGAGGCGAGTTCAGTTGGGCTGTTGTCGGTGCGGCGTGACCGTTGGATGTGGGCAAGGGTGCATTGTTGTGCGTGTGTGTGTGTGTGTGTGTGTGTGCGTGCGCGTGCGTGCGTGCGTGTGTGCGTGTGTGCTTACCAGTCTCCGAAGAACACCCGACAGTCGCGTCCAAAGCGTGTCGCAAGCTCGCCGGCGACTCTGCTTCGGAAGCGACAGTGCTTCAGCTTCTCATGAAGCCTCCACTTCAACTCTCGCCTGCTCACACCTTCCCTCAAACACTCCCTCGCAGACGCAACCACATCGTCCACGCTCCCTGGCTCCGCACCCCCGCCCTGCTCTTCCCGTTCTCGCTGCTCCCGCTCTTCCTCTCCCTTGTCCCTGCCTTCCTGCCCCTCTCCCTTGTCCCTGCCTCCCTGCTCCTCCTGCTGCTGTCGTCTCAGCTGCTCCTCCTTCTCAATCCGTGCCTTCTCTTTCCTGCGCCTGCTCCTCTCCCTCTTCGTCCGCTTGCCCCGCTCCCTCTTCTTCCTGCGTGACCCCGTCTCCCCCTTCCCCATCGCCCCTCCCTGCTCCCCACCCTCGTCGCTACCCCCTGACCTTGCTGGCACTGTCGCCGTTGGCTTGTGGTGTCGCCGTCCCCGCCCCGTATACAACTGGTTCGCTATTCGCTTCTGTGACACCAGCATTTTTTTGCCGTCTTGGATCCGAACGCATGCCAGCGGGATGCGGGTGCCTGGGTCGACCCCAACCACGGGTGTGATGGGGCTGGTGTCGCAGACGGTGTCGCGGCGCGCGCTGGGCTCCACCAGGAGGTATGCCGTGTAGCCGTCCGTCCTGATGGACGTGACGCGACGCTTCCGGAACTGCCTGGCCACGTCTGCTCCGAGGAAATCGAGGAGGGACGGAGCTTGCCTTGGCTGTGGTCGCACTGCGGCAGGCTGTCGGCACTGGCGCTGGGAGTGGCCGAGGCGGCCACACTTGCAGCAGGTCAGGTACCGTAGTAGTCCTGCATCTAGTTGTATGAAAGGGTGCTTGTTTGTGAATGTGGGGAATATCTTGAACGAGGTCAAGTCGGTGTCGGGCGGTGCAAGGGTCCTCGCAAGATGCTGCGCGGCGCCGATGTAGAGGGCCAGCTCGGCCGTGTGCTCACATGCGAAGCGCGCGCCTTCGTCATGGTGCTCCGCCACCTTCTTCAGTTGCCGTTGAGCAGCTCTCGCCTTGTTCTTGAGATCCCGTTGGAGGAGCGGGGTGAACTCCTTGGACGCCAGGTTCAGCAGCTTGTATGCCTAAGTGGTGAAGATGAGCACGTGCAAACACGCGTGTGAGTTGGTTGTGTGTGCATGTGTATGAGTTGGTTGTGTGTATCGCGTTGGTCGAGCTGGGACACACACCGCGATGCATGATGTAGCAACAGCAGGCATGGGAGTAGGATCATCAAGCAGACAAGGCAAACACGCAAGCATGCGCACAGACATACCATGGTGGCCGTCATCCATTTCGGTGGGTCCGGTATCCCCACGCCGTGCTGTCGGAGGATTGACAGCATCGGATGCTGGCTATGTTTTTTGTGGTTGCGCAGTGTGGTGAAGAGGTTGCTTAGCTTGTCTGCTGTCAGCTGTGGCGCCAAGTGCTGGAAGCAGTAGGCAGGTCTTGGGGATTTGCCTGTGGCTGCTGCTGTGACTGTTGTTGCAGTGGCGGGCGGTGTTGTTGCTGCGGCTGCTGTTGCTGTGGCTGCTGTTGTTTGCTGCTGCACCTTTTGCCCTTTGCACGGGTTGTCAGACGGCGACGCCGCTCGGGACTTCTTGGGGCCCTTCTTCTTCTTTCTTCTTCTTGAGGGTCTTCGACGCCTTCGGCACGCTCCTGGCCTCGCGGAAGGCGACCTTGCGCTCCACAATTTCCTTTCTTGTGGTCTGGGCGAGTCCGCCAGAGTGGAGAGGATTTCCCGGTGGTGTTGTTCCGCAGTGCGCAGAATGTGCAGGTAGAGTGCCGTGGTTGCAGTGCACTTCATCTGCCCAGCATACCTGCGTCAAGCGTGGATGTGCGTGACAAGGCAGGGCGGGTGTGCGCATGCATGAGCGTGTGATTGCGCACGCGGGCACGAACCTCGCATGAAGTGCGAGAGTGGGATGAAGGGTGCATGGTGCAGTGAAGGAAGCAGTCAGGCAGTTCAGCGCATTGTCGGCCATACCTGCACATCTCCAGCACCTTTGAGCGCTCCAGCTCCACTCCAAGCCGCTTGAAGGGCATCAGGACCGCCACCCTGTTGTGCACCAACATCGATAATTGCAGTTGGAAGAGGGCAAAGTGTGAGCGGGCGCAGGGCCAAGCGACAAGGGTTCAGTCACAGGTGCAGACGGCAAGCGGTTCACGCAGCACAAACACAACGCATGCAACATAGCGCAGCAGGCAGGCTATGCAAGAGTAAACCTTGGGTTCTTGTTCTGATCTTGACCGCGTCGCTTCTGGCCACGTTTGCCCCGCTTGGTGCTCTTGCCACAATCGTCACGTCCATTGTGATCGCGAGGCTTGCGCCCTGGACGCCGCGAACGCTACGTCACCATACAAAACACGTCACCAGATAGTACATAAGTCTACAGCGCAAAATCTCAGGGTTTCAGGCACAGCAAGCACAGCGCACCACACACGGGCGATGGCATACGCAACCATGTTGAGACTTACGTGTGATGTTGTCTCAAGTCGACCATTCCGCATGTCGGATACGATGGCTTTGAGAGCCGGGCGAAGCCGCACACGGTGGCAGGTGTGGCCCGTGTCAGGGTCTGCACGTCCACGTGCGCGTTCCACGGCATTCTCCACGTGCACCACTCCGGCGACCGTGCGCCCCTAATGTGGTTGGTTGCAAACATGTCGGTGAGACGTGAGTGTCTTACAGTGGTTGTGCGATACAAATCAAAGCAGGGCCGTACAAGCAGGCGCACGCTCCGCAAGACATTGCAACCCCCCACGCAAGGCATTCACGCAAGACACTGCAATATCATACCTCGTTTGCGGGGTCGCTAGTGAACTCAAACAGAGGGGTTGTGGCAGGATGGGCGCTGTCGCCGTCGTCGTCGGCCGGCTCTGGTGCAAGTGGTGGCAGCCTGCGCCTTGCCTGCGCAGTGTCGTCCCAGACGACCTGGCAGGTAAAGGCAAGCATGGCATGACGCACCTTTGCGTCGAGGTCGTCGGTTATGATGTAGTTTTGCCTGAGGTGCTGCATGATGTCGGTGTAGGTCTTGTATTTGTGTGTGACGTACATCGCCGTGCGCATGCCGATCCCGTGAATGTGCGCACCTGGTGAGCAGGGGAAGGGGCAGCAATGCGTGAGTACTTGGCGCACACGAGCACACGAAGAGAGAGATAGAGATAGAGAGACAGAGAGAGAGATAGGGGAGGGAGAGACGGAGAGACAGAGAGAGATAGGGGAGGAGGGATGCAAGTACACACGTGCACACAGACAGACACTTGCACGCTTACAAACGCGCATACATGCAAGCATGCACAGACAGACGCGCAGGCATACACACAGGCAAACACGTAAGGCCAAGCACGTGCATAACTCATACCGGAGTGCTTTGGAAGGTAATCGCAACCGGACAGTACAGCAGCAAGCTGCAGCGTGTCCAGGCGAAGATCGCGAAGCGACAGGCGAACGCCGTAGCGCGTTAACGTGAGCTCCTGCAGGTGGTGAAACTGGATCGAATCACAGGTCCTGCCAGGTGTGTGATGTGATGTGAGTGGGGCAAGGCAGCAGCAGGTCGCGCGCGGTGAGATCAAAACGCTTGTTACAAGGAGCATGGTGGGAAGTCGACGTGGCAAAGGCAGGTCAAATGCACTCAAAGGCACGCCAAGTGGCACGCACAAGCATGCACAAGCAAGCAAGCGGGACATCAACACGATGGCATCAACACGATGGCTCACCCGGAGCTTCGCAGGTTGCGGAGGACGTGGGGCACGCCAAAGCACAGCATGTCGCTGTCGTCGCTGAGGACGGCAGCGACACGGCCGGTCCGGGCCATGAAGGCGAGTTGGGCGTCGGCCTCGTAAGGTGCCACCACGTACTCTGTGAGGCCAAGCACAAACAAGCACAGCGGGTTCGTGAGGAAGAACGGTCTCCGTGCAAGCCACTCGGACACAAGATGGGGGCGGGACGGAGGAAGGGGCACAGAGGGCTCACAAAGATGGTCAAGTGTCACTGCCAGCGCGCGCACACACACGTGCACGCACAGCAGGGCAAATCAAGCGATCACATGCATGCACAGGAGGGCAAATCAAGCGATCACATGCACCAATGTTGAGGCGATCCAGCATGGCCATGAGGGTGCGTTGCATGTCACGGCTGACGTGCAATGCCCTTCTGCTGGCCTTTCTTGCTTCGTGGACTTTTCCTTGCTTGCGGAGCTTGAGCGCCTCCTCTCTCGCGGCCCTGTAACATCCACAATCCATGACAAAGAACGGTGCGTGAGCGTGACAAGCGTTGGCTGCAGGGCGGTTGCAGCTCTGCTCTTGAGCAATCACAGGCAGGTGTTCTTACTTTCGTTGGCGCTGACGGCGCGCGTTTTCCTCTGCTTTGGCGGCGAGGGGAGCGCCATCAAACACCACGACAGGTGTGATTCCGGCTGTCGTCAGGAGGGCGAGCCTCTTGAAGACAAATCTGCAGCGTTGACACGCATGTCACAGAGTGAGTAGTAGAAGCACGGAAGCAGCAGGCAGCACAATGTGGCAGGGCTGGCATGCATGTACAGGCGTGGGGTGATGGTGTGTGTCGTACCTGTAAGGACGTAAGTCCTCGGCGTTGCGCAGCAGTTCCAAGGACCTGGAATAGCATCCTGTCAAGTGCATCGATGTGAGTAGATAGAAAGGAGGAAGGGAAGGGAAGGGTGTTCGAGATCATGTTTGAGGGCGATCCAGGAGGGCGACGCAATCAAGCAGGCAGAGCAATCAAGCAGGCAGAGCAACCAAGCAGGCAGAGCAACCAAGCAGGCAAACCCCTTACCCTTATAGGCAAAGGATGATATGTCAATGGCCACGCGTTGGCCAGTGAACCTTTCAAGGTTCACTGTCTGTACCACGGGGCGTACCAGGTTGATCAGTCCTGGTACGCCCATGTCTCACACACACACACACACACAGGCAACAACGCAAGCACACGCGAAAACACGTGCGCAAGCGACCCAGACCCAGGCGTAAAACTGCTGAGTCAGCAAAAATGGAGAAGCGAGCACAATTTCGTGAGGACAACGATGATGAACGCAGCCGCGCGGCGCAACGGGTAAGCGAAAACAAGATTGGAGATGGGCAAGGGCGAGAGGGGAGGTGGGACAAGGGCGAGGAGAGAGGAGAGAGGAGAGATGGGAGATGGGAGACGGAGACAAGGCCCCGTGCCGTCACAAAAGACGATGGCCGCAGAACACCGATGGGGTGCCAACGAACAGCAAACATCTGCAAGGTATGCTGTTACAGGAAGGGGAGGGGGAAGAGGACATGGATGGATATTGGGATATTGGGCAAAGGCGTACCTTTTGTTGATGCTTGGGTGAGGCGGGGAGGGGGGAGGCGAGTGCGGAAGAAGAAACCGGGCGCTGCTGGAGATAGCTGAGGAGAGGGTGACGGGGGGGGGAAGCGAGAGAAGGAGAGAGGAAGATGGTGAGTCGAGGATGCATGATGCTGTCAGCGTACAGATGTGCGGGCGGTGCTCATGCGCTCTTTCACACACTCACACCACGCACACGCAGGCAAACAGGTGCACAACCATGCCTGGCAGTCATCCTCACTCTCTCACTCACACACACACACACACACACACACACACACGCAGGCAAACAGGTGCACAATCATGCCTGGCGTCACACACACACACACACACACACACACACACACACGCACACACACACACACACACACACACACACACACGCACAGGTGCACAGTACAGGTGCACAATGACGACGGCGTCATCCTCACTTACACGCAGGCGCAGACGAGCGGGAAAATGAATGTGGCACAAGTGAGTGAGTGTGTTTGTTGTGTTGCAGTCTGTGCGATCGTTCGCACACGCACGTGTGTCTGCAATTGTATGTGTGTTTCGTCTCCCAGCCCCAGTTATGCAACAAGCACGTGCGTGTTTCGTCTCCCCCCCCCACAGTTATGCAACAAGCACGTGCGTGTTTCGTCTCTCCCCCCCCCCCAGTTATGCAACAAGCACGTGCGTGTTTCGTCTCCCCCTCCCCCAGTTATGCAACAAGCACGTGCGTGTTTCGTCTCCCCCTCCCCCAGTTATGCAACAAGCACGTGCGTGTTTAGCGCCACGCAACACACACACACACACACAATCACACACACACACACACACACACAATCACAGGTGCCACGCCGAGAAGTTGGCACGGCACGAGTAGCTCTGCGGTTCCGTGAGCGGCCAGCGGGCGGTTGCGCTGGACATTGTGTGCATGTACGAGCAGCCGCGATGGCTGACGGTTGAGGAGTCGCGGGAGCTGCTGGAGAAGGAGGCGGTGGCGCTGTCGCACACAAAGGCGAAGAAGGCGCGGAGAAAGGCACGCAAGGAGGCAGAGCAGGAAGAGGATGATAAGGATGGTGATGAGGATGGCGAGGACGATAAGGCTGAGGAGAAGGACTCCAAGAAGACAGGGAAGAAGAAAAACAAGGGCAAGGCAAAGGGCAACAAGGGCAAGGGCAACAAGCACGGCAAAGACACCACCAGCACCGACGACGACGATGCGAATGGCGATGATGACGAAGACAAGAAGAGCGAAGGCGACGTGCTGGAAGTGAGCACGACGCAACTCGACGGCCCCTGTGACATCATGCACCTCCTGCGAACAGCAGAGGCGCTTCCCCTCACCCTTCACGCCCACAGGTGAGCTCATGTGTGCGTGTGTGTGTGTGTGTGTGTGTGTGTGTGTGTGTGTGTGTGTTGTGCTGATGAGCGTGTTGTCGTCTTGTGAGCGTCCGAGTTTGCTCTGCTTGTGTTATTGTCCTGACATCCACACCACCCTCACTCTTTCATGGCCAACTTCTTCGTCGCAATCCATGATCTCCTTCACCCTCTCTTCTTGCTCACTCCACCTCCCTTCCTTCATCTGCAACAGAGACAAGCGGCTTCAGATTATGCGCGCGTCCTCGGGCAAGTACCTGAGCCGCACCCCCGACATGCTGCTCCGCCTGACCATGGCATACCTGCTTGGCCTGCACCACGTCAACCTCACGCTGCTGTGGGCCGACGCGAAGAAGGCGCTTGGCGAGTTTGCCCGCTACCGCCCGCTAGTGCTGTGGACGCTCTTTGAGGACAAGTTCATGCGCGTGCTTGACGCGAGCGTGGAGATGGGCGAGATCATGACGGAGCAGGCGCGCACCATTGGCCAGCAGCAGGTGACAGACTCGGCACACCGCATCGTCGACGACCGCTTGGACGTGCTGTCGTTCCGGTGTCTGGTGCACCCGCTGGAGCATCGCATCAACCTTCTGCAGAAGCCGGACTGGGACAACAACATGACGCAGGTTGCAGACCGGTTTGTCAACGCCGTGTGCCCGCAACCGCGCGTTGATGTGCTCAAGCTGATGCAAACCTTTGCCGAGCTCGCCAACACCTGGCCCCTCCTCACCGAGCAAAAGCACAGGTGCGTTGGTATGCTTGTTGTAGGTGCGTGCGTGCGCGTGCGTGTGTGTGTGTGAGATCGCATGTGCGCGTGTGCGTGTGTTTGTGAGATCGCCTGTGCAAACCACCCTGCCTGCGTTTGTGCCTGCGAGACTGGTGCATTTGGTTTGATGTGTACCTGGGATCAGTGCCATTGCTGCTCAACAGAGGGCTGCGCTTGAACGTTGTTGTATTGTATCCCCATTTCCCATCTCCGCTCGTCTCCATGCTCATGGCCATCCCTCCGTCCACCTCAACAGACGCTGGTTGAGAAGTTCCTCCAGCTGCACGACGACTACCTGGTGGTTGAAGAGGGAGCAGGAAAACTGCAGGACATTTCCGTCGCAAACGCCGGCCTCGCGGGTGCGTTCACGCGCTGCTGTCGTGTCTTTTATTTTGCTCCAACATGTTATGTGATCTTGCTTCCACCTGCTGTGGCGATTGCAGTGTGGTAATATGACACCTGTTGTTTGCACGGGTTGCTGTGCCGACCCCAGCGCTTGTGCTCAATTCTTACCGTCGACTCCTCGCTTCACAATCTGCATGTTGTCGTGCGTGCCTGCAGGCATTTCGATGCAGTCGCTCGGCATTGAGGATCTTGGCGGCGACCTCGACAATCTCAGTGACGATGAGAGCGTCAGCAATGACGACGACGAGGAGGACAATGATGACCGGCGCCGGAAGCGCAGCGCGATGCAGCACGACGGCCGTGGTGGTCGTGGTGGTCGTGGTGGTCGTGGTCGTGGTGGTCGTGGTCGTGGTGGTCGTGGCCGTGGCCGTGGTCGTGGTCGTGGTCGTGGTCGTGGCCGTGGTCGTGGCCGTGGTCGTGGTCGTGGCCGTGGTGGTCGTGATAGCAAGCGCCCAAAGCGGGAGGATGACACTTCTAACGACAACCCTGACGATGATGACACGAAGCGCGATGGTGCCGACGCCACCAACGATGGCGACGATGCTGTGCAGGCGTATGATCCAACGGCGGCTGCGCGTCGTCGCGTGTTCTGGCGGCGGCGGCGGTTCTGGCGGCGGCGGCGGCAGAAGCGCGGAAAGGTCGCGCTGAGCCAGATGGAGGCCATGCTCTCTGATGGAAGCCATGCTCTCTGTGCTCGCCAGCTTCAACAACGGGAAGGCGCTGATGGAGTGGGAGCGCCTGCAGGCGATTGTGCACAACTTCCTGCACCACTCTGACGCGAACATCCGCGCCAACGCCCTCAAGGCAAGCGCTTCGTTCAGCCGCGTGGTGCGCAAGTACCTGGAGCCCATGATGGCTGTCAACACGGAGATGGGGCCCCAGCTCACAGAGCGCTTGAAGACATTCAGCGTCGCCTCCCCAGCCGGTGTGTGTGTGTATGTGTGTGTGTGTGTGTGTGTGTGTGTGTGTGTGTGTGTGTGTGTGTGTGTGTGTGTGTGTGTGTGTGTGTGTGTGTGTGTGTGTGTGTGTGTGTGCGTGTGTGTGAACCTTGTAGCATTTTTTTCGTGATTCCGTTCACACTCGCTGTACAACACTTACCCCCATACGATTCACCGCCACCCCTTTCTACACGTGTGCAGTCGTAGCACCGGAGCATGTTGAAGAGGTGACAACCGTGTTCTTCCGGCTGCTACAGGCCAAGATGTTTGCGCGCAAGGGCAAGTCCCAGAAGTACTCGCCCAAGTTCCAGCGCGCCCTCATTCTCCGCTACTTGGCCGACTG